CGCAGCTTCCTCCTGTGAAGAATCTCTTATATAAAAATAACCAAGGTAATTCCAGTTTTGTGGAGAAAGGAGATAAAAAACAAACCACCCCAAACATTTTCTTAAAGTGAGTGTACTTTCTTTGAAGCAGGCTCCTCAAACTTACCTGGCTCACAGCTGATGTTCTTGGGATCAACACTAAATGCCTGAGCCTAAGTGACAGAACCCTTGTATAGTGTTCACAAGGATCCTGCTGTGCTTCCACTGAAGACAACTCTGATTTTAGAAACAAAAGTTGGGCCATAACTGAATGTAATGTCTCACTCTATCCTCTCCAAGAAGTTATTCTACCCTCTCTCCCCAGATAAACTCTCTACAGCTGGGTGCTTTATTAAAATAATATTTGCACTACCCTTAAGGAGATGACACTGGATTACTCTGCTTTAGGTGTTAACTGCACTTGCTTTTCCCCACAGACCTTTTCCAAAGCAAAGAAGGAGAAATCACTGTGCTAGAGGAGTGCACCTCATCTACTAATGCTAATACTTTAATTCCATGCCCTGAGAAAATTTCTCTGTAAGCCAACACTCTTGTGTATAATACATTTATATACCCTGCGTACATGCACTCTGCATACACATGTGCGTACATGTTTATTAATGACATAGTAGAACATTAACTTATAAAACTTTCATACATTAAATGGCAGCTTTTAAGGAAAAAAGTAATCCTTTTCAGACCATCAGCTGTATTAGCAGCTGTCAAAAATTGAAATCTTGGCTCCAATCAAGTTACACGTTATACACTTTATTAGTAACATATAATGGTGAGGAATTATGCCACCCATGTACACACATGTACAATATCACAATCAGATAATAATAATAAGAAATTTTTAATTTTCTCTTGAAACAAAGAATGAGACACTAACAAAAACAAATCATTACAGCAAAAATCTTTGCTATCTTCCCAAGAAGAACAAAAATATGAGCAGTAAATAACATGGGCCTCACATAGAAATATATTTCTCTTACTAATATTTTTTGCTCAATTCATTCCAGTTCATGCATTAACATCACTTCTCCCTCTTCACAGACTTCAGACCAAATGGTGGTGGTGGGGAAATCACACGGGATACAACAACTTAGCTTGTGGTCTGTGAATCATTAGCAGCCTAGAACATTTAAGAAGGTGGTACACAGACATAATGAAAGACAGCGACCGAAAAGGTCACACGTTCCCATTCACACAGGAAAACTCATGAGTTCACAGAATGAAAAATGAAAGCAATAAATGCTTATAGCTTAACCCAATTTCACTTGGTTGCAGATGCACAAGATAGTCCAAAGATTTCTCAAAAAGCATTTTTGCATTAGGAAACATGGGCTGGCAGCTCTAATTACACACTCCAGTGATTGTCTCTGAAATAACAGACTGTCTTGAACAAAAGAGATAACCACGAGGATGAAGTTAGGAAAGCCCTATTAACCTGAAATGATTCATATTTTTCTTCCTACTTCCTACTTTGTTCTTTTTTCCTTGTTAAACATGAGCATTCAGCAACAGAAAGAGATGTTATTAAAGACAAGAACCCATCCACAAAATAATACTCTGAAGGACTTAGCTACCAAGCTGAAGAAGAAAGCAGCAATTCCAGACTATGCCTTACAGGTCTGCTATTTTCACACCCAGCCAACAGAAATGAGAGTTTTAAGGCCATGTTAGGAATCCTAAATAAAAATGGGTCAGTGTTCTCTGGGTGTCTCCCACTGAACTTAGCAAAAGCTTAACATGGTCTGGAAGAAACAAAAAGATAAGAGTTATTTTAAAGGCTCATCTCTGAATATTGTAACTGAAAGTTAGCAATTACACACCCTGGTGGGCCCCAGGGAAGTTGGGTTGCTTACACTCACCATTACATGAGTTCTCTTGCATCCTCAGGTTCTCTTGAAGCACTTAAAAGAAAAGCAAATTGAAAAGCAAAAGCTGATGCACGGGATTGGGATGCCTCTCCTCACTTGGTTTCCCACTCCATCCCCTCATAGGTGACATGTAATTCCATTAATTAAACTATTACCTCTTTAAGCAGTTACAATTTTTAGCCCCTACCTCTACTCTTACTGGAGGGCTCAGCCAGAATCTCCAGGCTAAGAGAGTCTGAAACCCTATTTCCAATTCCAGATGGATGTTTGATTGGGTAGATGTTGTTTGTTTAAAACAAAAATTAAAAGCAAAAAGACCAAAGCCCCAACTACCCCAAACTTATTTCTGGCATGAGCTAGAACCTCAGTTTCTTGACAGACAGATTATAAGATTATTGCATAAAATACTGGTTTGTTCTTTATTTGCTCTTTATTGTGCTGCTGAGGCTTTTATTTAAATATTTTATCATTGCCTGGAAACAGCTCACAGGTTTCCAACTTACAAGCTCCTTTTAGAGGGGGAGTATTAAATCCAGGATGTAATTAAGCCTTTGTTATTAGGAATATTTTCTTTTCAGGCACCCAGCAGGGTTTCCAGCATGTCAAAATCTTGTTTGGACCTTTTCAGAGGGTAGCCATGTAATTTGGCAGAAGATAAAAAACACAAGGAGCCAAAAGGGCTAGAATATTTTTTCAATAATCATCTGAACATAACTAAAGAAACTGGAAACTAGTAGTGAGGAAAGGAATTAAAAAACGAATTTTAAAAAGGAAGAAAAAAGCTCAATCTTTGAATTTTAACAGTGTGTATTGGACATTTCAGAAAGCATTCCAGATACTGCCGAGGACTTTCTACTGGACATTTGAAAATACGTCCTCAAAACTCCAAAGATATTCTCTTGTTAAGATTTTGAAACAGCAGAAGTAAAAAGCAGCCATGGGCCATGAACATAAATATTTACTGAATCTGCACCTCATGGAAGAACGTATCTACTTTGGCACACATTATTATAATTTTTCCAAAGGGAAAAGCCAGCATAGATATCAAAAGACAGGAACTTACACTTCGCTCACTCAGGCTGAAAACATGTACATCCCCTAATGGGGCAGCTTATATCACAGCACGTCATTAAATATAAAGAACTGACATAATGAAAGCATCTCTACTGCCAGTCCTATACCCTTGCCTGCCATTTGGCTATGAGTTACTTTGCCTATATTCGGCCATCTCACCAGAGGACTCTTCTTGTAGAGCTCGCCTCTCCAGAAGCAGCAAGGTGTGCCCACTTTCTCTCTAGCACTGGACCTGCCAAAGAGACATGGACCCTTTTTTGAAAGGCGAGTGTTCCAAGCCCAGCTTATTCTGATATGTATATTGCCATTCATTTTTCCCATGTCTGAAGCATCTATCACAGAAAATGTTAAATTAGGATCATCAGGTCAAGAGGCTAAGTTTAGAAAGCTAAGTTTACAGGGTCCTTTTTATATAAAGGGATTCTCTAAATCTACAGTGAAACACAGAAAAGAAAAGCAGTTAATGATACTTATCATACCAAAAGACTATCTTGGAATTACAAAGTTCCCCATACCCAACTGTGACAATCCATGGAAAACTGTGAGTAGGATTCCACCTTCTGCATAGCACTACGTCTGTGGGAACTCAAAGAGACAGCATCATTGATGGTACTGTACCTGCAGGCTCAACTCAAAGGCTACTAAAGCTTAAATGTTTGCAGAAAGTCTATTAACTCAGGCCTGACTTTTTCAGTAATAGTAGAGCCTTGGTATTATTGCAGTGATATCAATTCTGTAGGTGTGTCGATAGAGTACAAGGTAAAGGAGAATATTTTCACAAGCACTGCAGTGAGAAATCCACATCCCAAACTCAGACAAACCTAATAACACAAGGTGAAGGTCAATGAAGTCTGCTCCTTTTGTAGCTAAGATGCACGATATAAACAGCAAATATTTCACCAAAGTGAAATATCACTATTTTCCTTTAAGTCATCCTCACAGCTTTTAACAAGCTGCAAAATATATGATTTAAGTTACACAAGCACGAAAATTATACAATTCATAGCGCAGAGAAATAAATGCAAAAAAGGACAGAACACATTCTCTGGTACTCCACACATATTCAGAGGAGGTTTAACACAAAAAATGGAATTTCTTCAGCAGCACTGATTAAACTTAAGATGAAGCAAGGATCTTCTTTACAAAGTAAAGGCACCAGCTCTTTGTAAACACATACTCCTCTCACTTTAACTGAGAAAGCACTCAAAATATTCCGTGGAGGCAACCTGTGTGGTAGTGTTCCATTGCCTATAAATACTTCACAGTAGAGATATCAAAGGTCTTACTTCTCCTTTTTACTGCATTTAATAAGAGATGTTTTTCTTCAATTTAATTACTGGGAAACTCTTTAAATCTCCCTGGAAATGTTACAATGAATCTATAAGACAGTGTTTTCTCTTATCTGCCTTCTGATATCTATCAAGAAGTTTCAAGGCAAAAGAAATGTCAGATGCCAGTACGAAACACACACATTTGCAGTCATCTCTTGTTTTCAGTATTGTGCTATAGACAGTTTTCCATAAGGAACCATTGGTTTATATTAAAAATATAGATACATTTAAAAAAAGGAACTTGTGAACATCCTCCAGCTGTGCAGCTACCAATGCTCTGACTTTCCACATGCACTAGCAAAGAGCGAACAAGAAATTAACTACCTCTCAATTCTTTGGGAAAAAGAAGATTAGATACTTCTGATCACAATGACTGTACTTCAGGATTACAGATTTTTTTCAAGTATGCATCCTGAATATACATGTCTCCCTAGTGTGGAGAGTATTCACACAGTTCTTTACTAATGAAACTGCAAAACTCGAAAACTGTTAAAATAAATATTCCATACAAAGATGAGTTGTTTGCATCTTGGGCAAAATGAACTGAGCATCTTCATAGTTTCCACCCTATAACTACCACCAATATCACCAAACACACTTTACTACTCATACACACAAATCCAGTGATAACACTAATTAATATTGTTCAGTATCCAACCAAACTTGTGCGTTTCTAAGTCACCTTCTTTCAGCTTTATAAAGCTGACTGAATTTTTAATGTAGTACTTTCAGCTTCTACGGGACTCTCAACTGGCACCTGGAGAGGGGAAAAAAAAAAAAAAAAAAGCAGGAATTAAGCTGCTATTCAGCAGAAGCTATTCCCAACCTCAGTATTCTTAGGTAATTTTTAGGTTAGACCCCAACAGTCTATGTAGTTAATTAGTGAAATCAGGCATTTATGGAAAGCCCTATTTTCCCTTCTCTCCACAATGAAGAAAAAAAAAACCCAAACCAAAAAAACCCCACAGAATTGAATTTCTTAGTATAACTCTAAAGTATACATTTACAGCATATAGATATTCATCATGTGGAGATCAGCTTTCATTTCTTTTCTCCGTTACATTTAAACACCATAGAATCTTGATGATCCAGGTTTGGTATCAAAGTGCTACTGTACCTTATTAACACAGGCAACTCTCAATTAATTATGGTAATACCAGGGCAAGGACTCCAGGCTTTTCTTTTATTGTGGCTAATATAAATGAAGTTGTGCCACAGCTAGGCTAATGAACAAGGTGATAATGGCAAACTGACAAGTCATGGACCACTTCCTATAGTCAGCATGTACATCCCTGAGACAGCCCCGACCCAGGCTGGTAAACCCACAGGATGCCACAGCGTGCACACACAGCTGCACAGGTTTCAGGTTCATGTTAGCTCACATAGCACCACTTTGGAAGTTTCCGAACCTTTAGGCAGATGCTAACAGTGCACACATGATGGCAGATGACCAAAAAGCTGCAGTATATGCAAGACACCTACATATAAAAAGAAGCGTGACAGAGGATCTTGCAAAAAGCTGTTTATCTTGATCCAAACAATCAAAAAACCCACAGCAGTGAAAAGTTTTCAATGTCAGCCTTATTTCCACTAGTGACTGTGATAATTTGGAAAAGCTGCTGAAACATGGTTTCGGGACCTCCTAAACAGCAGAAAGTGCTGTGCTCACTCTTCATTTAAACTGAGAGGGTGCTCAGCAGAAGAACAGGCCCAGCTCTTCATGCAGCACAGTACAGAAACTGCAGCGTGACTTCTGTTCATCAGACACTGCCTTCACCTAAAGGGACTGCAGGTATTTTAAACAAAATACGTAGTCTACAGCACAGCCCTCCAACCTAATACACAAAAAGGCTTCACAATTTACAATGCTACTTGCAAATATGAAAAAAGCAAGATTCAAGCAATAAAATCAGAGATTCAATATTAGCCACTTAAAATTAAGGAAAATCTGAGAGCAGAAGGTCTTTCAGTTTTTTTCATGGGAGCTAAACTGAGAAACAGATATCTGAGGGCAGCCTTCCATGGGGCTCTGTTGTTTCAAAACAGCATGGAAACAGTCATATTATAAGTACTCTTTTGCTGTTAATATTATTATGCCAGTAGAAGCCAAGCATTCAAGTACGGTAATACAATCACAGTAAAAGAATCACCACTTACAGCTTTAACATCCAAATTCATAATCCCTAAATTCACATTGTGTCTTCGCAAATCTGATTTTATTAAGGCTGAAACAAAACATAAAGAGAAAGCTGGTTCACAACTTTGCAATGACATACATTTCAAGGGAAATGTTTGTACAGTTCAAGCACACAGAAGCTGCTTTCAGCACATATTCAAAATACCTGTATTCACTCTTTTGCAATTTGAACTTACTGACAATTTGAACTTGCTCCTCACAAAGCACACACAGAAAATGATAATAAAAGCTTTTAAACCATGAGTACTTAAAGTAAAGCTGGATGGCTTTGGCACTTTCAGCTCATTTGTAAGTACCAGCATGTGTAAGTTACTGGTACAGTTTAGGAATACATAAGCAGTTTCTTGCATTTGGAAAACTGCGAACTGTCTCCATTTACGTATTCGTTTACATTTACTATCCTACTCTGGAGATAGACGTCTGCCTCATTCAAGACATGACTCAAGAAATGGGTGACAGATGGCTGTCCATATATTAGCAACATCATCCTTAAAACAAAGGGTGTGCGCACAGCAAGTATTTAAAATTAAAAACAAAGCAAAAAAACCCTGGTAACTCTGCAATTATAACTTTCATCCTCAGCCTGGACAGGAATCCACATCTTTAAATCCTAGATATCAGAGACATCTAAAAACTACCCAAAAATTCACTATCTCAAAAAAACCTTCACATTTTTACACTAAAGAGAAATCATTACTTACATTTCTGATTAATTACCTGTTAAGATAATGCCCACAAAAATCCAAGCACAAAGAAAGAGGTTTCCTGCACGGGCACTGTAGTCTGTTATGAGTTTTCCTTGAACAAGTGTAAAGACAATTCCAAATATCTATGAACAAACAAGTCACTTCATCAGGGAAGAGAAGGGTCATCACTTTACCTTGCAAAGTTTCAAGTGACATCTTATAGAAACCAAATTTAAAAAATTAAGACTATAGCAACACAACAGAGACTTAGTAGCCAAGCCTAAGAAAGCCTTCTTAGATTCAAGCAGAGTGGCCTTCCTGAACATTACTTCACTTGAAGAAATAAAATGATATAACCTGTGCTGATGCATTAAGGAGACCTGAGGAAGTGCCTTCAGGCTCTGGGTATGTAATTTCCACAGCAAATTCAAACCCAAGTGGGAGATAGCCAGTCATGAAGAACCTGTTGAAGAAGAGAATGAGAGGATGACAGGTGTGGCCTTCATCTATTACTACAGCTAAGAAAATCAAACATAAACACATGCTATTATGAATAAGCTGGTATTCTGAACTGTTTTCAAGATCTAACATGATTCAATACTTGCTTTGCCTGCCTCATTCCCTCAACCTCATCCAACAATTTTAGCCATACATCTCTCTTTTTAGAGGTGTATTTAGAGGTCTCTTTTTGTCTCCCATAACCACCTGCACTCCACTCCGTACATATGAAACAACCCTCTCTGACCAGTCCACAAGCCACTCCATAACTGAAGCCAATTGCTTTCAAATGAAAGACACCCCTGAACATCATAATTTGATCAGCCCAAACATCCATGCTGGAGGACAAAAAGAAGACCATCTGTAGGGAGCGAGGCTGAACACTGGAAGGGCTGCTAGAAGTTGCTGTGGAAGAAGCTGAGGGGACTGATGGGTGACAGAAGAGCAGGGGCTTAATGCAGTTGAAGTTAGCTGATCATTTTTTAAACAGAAACTCTCAAGGCATTTCTGGCTCCACCTTGACTGCCGTGTCTGGATACAGCACCATTCCCTCAGCACCTTTTTGGGCCTTTAGGTTATGTAGCTATGAGAAGTGCTCATGCTCTTCCAAGCAAACAAAGCATCCAGCATGTCACCTGGGCTATCAAAATATAGCTTAATCAAACGCACGGAAGCCAGTCTTCCTAGATTTGTTCAGTTAAACTCTAATTACTTATCCACTGTATCTTATCCAAAGATTCAACCTTACGGCAGACAGCTTTTTAAATTGGAACCAAACAAATCAACCACGTACAGACTTCTGTTAGGTCCATAAAAATGTTAAATTAAATCAACTGAAAAGTGAGTTACTTCAGATTTATTCTGATGTAACAAAAGGTGAATCCCTAGTAAACCCTATCTGTACTGTGAGTTATAGGCACAGGCTGAGAGCATGGTGACAGAATATACAGTAGAATCATTTAGTTAAAACAGTTAAATATTGTTTCTGAACAGAACTGCAGTAAGTCTTCTAGTCCTCTTTAATTGCTCACCCAAGTACTCCTCCAGTCACGAACACTACTATAAGGTATCCGAGGTCCAAGGTAAAAGTAAATACCAGCAACCCGATGAAAGAAAGAATGTAAACAATCAAAGTAGTTTGCCTGCAACCCAACCAAAAAAAAAAAAAAATTAACATTGTTAACATAAAGTCATGGTACCTTGCTAAAGCATGGAAAAGTAACATGAACATTATTTCCTCTATAACAACTGACATTCTACAGCTATCAAATTTGCTTCATGTAATTCTGATGCAAACATATCATGCAACGAGAACATATCCCTTCCTGAACTCTTTATTGCCTTGGTTATATGGCTGCTTCACTCAAGGCTAAGAGGCTTGCTCATACTCTCAAAAGAGTGGACAATCACAGCAGATACTATTACCTCAAGACTTAGTTCTCTGCTGTGTTGTACCGCTTGGCCATTGTGCAGCACTGCTCACTATACAAAGATCAATACAGGAGCAGACAAATTGAATACTGTTATCGACAAAAGTCAGCCTAAAAGGCAAGTCAAACAAGTCTCATTACAATGTTATGTTTATTTTAAATCTGGAATAAGGGATGTCACTCAAAATATTAAAGGACATATCACTTATTTATAAGCCAAAACACATGCAGAAACAAAGCCAATCTACAGCATTAACACCCATTAAGTTTCTAGAACTCTTGCACATAATGTCCCAAGAGTCACCAGGAGAGAACTTCTCTACCACAAGCACTGCTTCAGGGCACTGTCCACCCCTGGTGGGCACCACGCCATAGCTGATGGACCCAGGAGCTCCTACCCCACAACAGAGTTCTGCTCCATGCTCATCCCCTGAATCAAAGCAAATGTTATGCTTACTAATAGGCCCAGGAGTAGTACCAAAAAAAAAAAAAAGAGACTCCATCAACTGTCCATTTTACAAGACAATGCAGTGTAGGTTTTGAGCCTTTATGCTTTCCCAGGAAAAGGAGCCCAGTGGGCCACATGGCCACTGTACATAGGACATACGGTGCCTTCCCTGTTAGCATTACACTCCTGCAGAGACAGGAATAGATGGAAAACCCTTTCGCATCTTTGCATTTTCCTCTCTGATTTCTTTTGGCCAAGAACCAATCAGAGCGACAAACTTTTGCTGTAGCCTCAGAAACTTGTCTCCACCAAGGCTGCTAAAGATCAGGGATGAACTGCATTTTATCATCAGTTCACTTCAGCCCTTACGCTGCAGTATTTTTCCAATGCAATTGCACCGCTCTCCTGCCCCTAACCCCATACATGCCTACCCACACTTACTTGTATGTTTTAGTGTAATCCAGCCACAAACCACAAATAATCGAACCCACCATTCCTGCCACCACCAGTGTCAAGCCAATTCTCCCAGCGTTCACTTCTTCTCCCTTTCAACAAATATTTATATGGTGCTCATTAATAACTTGCTTCCACTCAGAGTCAAGTTCAGACCTCTTGGCAGTCATAAGAGCAAACAAACATTCCTATGACTCCCATAGCTGTATGGTGCAAGAAACTGTAGGGGGGTATAAAGGAAACCAAACGTCTGAGCACACATAGCACCTACATAATAATAAACATCACCTCTGTAAATGTACAGTAAAAAAACCCAAACAACTAACATCCCCAGAAGCTTACCTCATGAGTTACTATCATCTGGTTTAATAGCGTGGAGACAGAATAAAATGCCCCAGTCATAATACCTGCAGTACCAAAAGAAAAGCTTCAGTCATTCCAGGTGTAGCCACACAGATCTGCTAGATCAGAGTTAATCTTCTGATATTTAAGACTCACATCAGAGGCAAGACCATTTATCAGCCAGTAAAACCTCTTCACCAGACCTACAAATGGTGTTTTGAATCCTTTCGGATTTCCCAGCACTGGATGCTGAGTATGTAAAAGTTTGGCACTCCGTTACCCCTAAGCAACCACCACCACAACTACAACTCGATTTGCTTCCGGCACACATTCGACTGCTCTGACAGACTACAGCCAGACAGCACCACTTACCGTAACTGATCAGTAAAAGTACAAATGGAATGTTTTTGAACAAGTTTATAATTGACTGCTTGTAGGAGTACTCCTCAGGAGGCATAGTTTGCAGGACTGCTTGAGAGTGACTAGGAGGGTATTTGGGCTTTTCTTCAAACACTGGGGAAAAAGAAGAAGGAACAATTTTGATTTGTCTTTACCAGACTAATGCTTTTTCTTTTTGAAGTGTTTCAGTTTGATTAATTTCTCAAGTTTAATTTGTGGTTTATAACACTTCCATGTAAAAATATTCTAGATTTTCCCCATGGAAGAATTAAGACATGATGGATGCACTAATTACTTGGTCATGTCTGATTGCTACCAACATATGGTCAAACACAGACTTCATCTGCAACGTGTCTAGACCTTCGCATTTGAATTGTAAGAACAAGAAACAGATACCATATTATAGCATAATGTGCCCGCAAATGGTATCAAAAAGCTGAAGTGAGCTACATATCCTGGGCAGGGTTGTTCCAGGTGAAACACGACATAGAGGAAATTGGTTGTTGCTTAACCCTGGCACAACAGATAAGCAAACACAAGTAAACCTGAGAAAATGTAACCTCAACTATGTTGAGCAAAGTCAGATGCTTGAAGTGAGATGATGTAAACACTCCCTATGGTCACTGTTCAAATTACAAGAACAGAACACTTACCAACTCCCGCTAAGAAGAACAAAAGTGTGGACACTATCGCTGTTCCATAGAACATGATGCTGATGTTATGTGCCATTAGATCGAAGTCATTAGGTGTATTTGGAACCAAAACAGGTGGCAACAAAAAACCAATTGCAGTGCCAAGCTGTAAAATGAGAGAAGAAAATCAAAAATCATTTCTTTGTGAATATAAAAATTAAGTGAAAAGCTTTACCAAGAATTTATATCATCATAAGTACGAAAAAAACTGTGAAGGAAAAGTGTTCCTTTAGCATCATACTTCCGAGCCATTTGCTCTCAATGACATTTCACAATCAGGTCTTCAATAATTCAGGTGTTAACCTTTTCATTTCTAAATTAAACTACAATATTACACCTAGTATATAGCACATTTAACAACTAAGTATTAAGGAAGTTTATTTGCAGAAGAATCCTTCACAGGAAAACACTGTGCATGTACATAAATTTGTACGGGTCATCCTGCAAGGAAGGTCTAGAGATGACAGAAAATTCCAGCTATTCTTGTAGAAACAGTCTTCTCTTTTTCTCAGTCAAAACACTCCACTCGATGTTACAATCCTGCCACTACAGTAATAAAGACTAACATGCAAGGTTTATTGCAGAACTGACAGAGCAGAGAAGAGCAAGAGAAAAGGAGCATCCCTACCGAGAAACATAAAACCAAAACATGCATCTGCAATTAGTGTTACAGAAATAAAGAAAAATCACAAAATAAAGTAGTAGTGGGTTTGTATCTGGAGCCAATTCCAACATAGCAACTGATTTTGTATTAAAAAGAGATAAAGAGGGACTGAAATTTTGGGTATATATATGAAGTATTTTAAAACATGAAGGAACAACGGTCTTGGACTACTCTCCAATTTCTCTCTGCAGCTTCTCCAAAACGAAATTGCATTTAAAGAGTTAGAATTATTTTTTTTTAACTAAAAAACCCTGCATCTATTTCAGTTAAAAAATAAAAATAAAAAAGAACACCAAAGACTGTTAGAGCAGCAAGTCCAACACTCAGAAAGTACTCACAGGTGTGCCAACACGCTTACAAAGTGCCCTTTGTGCATATGCCCAGTGAGGGCTTTGCTGTTTTGCTTTTCCCCACAGACCATCAGGTTTATACAGTATCCAGTGCACACCTAAATAATTTGTTTCTTTTTATCCTCACCCTTCATTATATGAACCCTACAAACATGAACTGAGTATACAACTACTCTTAAGGTACGTTTTTCCTCCCCCAGTGTGAGCCAATGCAGTATCCACAACATTCCAAGAAATCAAGTAATGCCATTTTTCACCTTTTACATCCAGAGAGGTTAAGGCCAGCAGGATTGTGAGTTACAATGCATCTGGTGTGCCCAGTTTAAGATGCTCAATACTTGTGGAAGTCTGGCATTCCTAACAACTCTTGTTGCATTCCCAGTGATTTGTGTTTCAACTGGAAACGATCAGCCTCTCAAGAGATAACAGGTGCGATCTGATTTTTGATAACTACTCTGTCCTTCCCCTGTCTGCAGTCCCCAGCCCTGTTTGCTGTAGCTCTGAAGTTATGCAAAACTATCTGATAAGAAATCAGATGACCAAGAGTCCAGTTTGTTATAGCAACCTGATTCTGTTACACAGTTCACCTTGTGCCATTAAAAAAGTACAGTGAGACCATAATGCATATGCAGAAGTGAACTGCACTGGGATGTACAGACAACTTCACCTCTAACTCCCAAGTGCCTCATTTGTCATTTCACTACTCTTTCAGTCCAGCTTTTGAGAGGTTTTTTTTTTTTAAGAAAGCAAAAATTGAGAACAGAGAAATTCTGTTGTTTTACACTGTATCAGTCTTCACAGGTCACAAGCAGGGCTGGGATCCTAAGACCTATGCAGCACACAGCTCTGAGCCAGCGGGGTTCGGAAGGGCATAGCTGCAGAACAAGCCACCATCCCCTGTGCCAGACTGCAAGAGGGGGACAACACACACGTTGTCTGTGTGTTTCACAAGTATTTCCCAGGTAGGTGGCAGATGACCACCAAGCACATCAGCACGCTAAGATCTGTCCTAGCTTCTGCAGGTGAATGTGCTCTGGAAATTAATAAAGTCTTTTGTTCACACCCCTGCTCCCATTTCCCTCGTCCATCCTTCTCATAGTTCCTGTTCACAAAATTCCTGCTCCTGTCCTTCCCCATTTCAACCCCCACATCTCAGCACCCAAGTAAATCTGTTTGAGAGTCCCAGATGGTTCCTTGGCACCATACTGCACAAATGAAACCCCCTTGCTACTAGGAGGGCTGGTGCATGTCGGGAAGAGTGGAAATTTAGCTGCCAAAGAAACCTGTTACCTGAATCCAGGACACAGAAGCAAAATTTTTGCCCAACTGCTAGAACAACCAAACAACAATCCCCAAAGTCTTCAGTCCAAAAGGGACTGCTGACTTGTCCACTGGAAGACTTCAATGGAAAAAAAAAAAACAAACAGTTTTGGAAAAGCACTGGGAAAACTGTAAGCATCCAGATATGAGATAATGACCAACCCTAACTGTAAATACATAATGCTAATATTACTGGTGTAATAATCCAAAGTGCATAAACATAAAATCATCACACTCACATAAGGAAAAACAAATCCCCCGTGACCTTAACCAAACTGTACCTATGACCTCAGCCTGCACCAGCGATGTTGATGGGAACCTTAACATTTTGTTGCCACAAAAAAGCAGGGACAATGGCAAGGGGTGAGAACAAGGCTATGGGAGGACAAAAACCCATCAGCATCATATTTTCACCTGTGCTTTCACATATGCCTGTTCCAGCTCTCTGAAACCGGCCAGGACCAGGGAGCTGGAGAAAACCCATGACTCAGTTATCAGCTCCCCACAGGGATGTGAACTCTCACAGCGTTACAGAAAACTTCATGAGTCACCAGGGTATCAACTACTGGCACTCAGTGATTCGAGGCTGTATTTTAAAAGCGGGAACTAACACATGCTGGCACTGGGGCTCTCCATGAAAGTCCATGTACATCACCCTCCTCCAGCTGGTGGTGGATTCAGTCAGATGAACAACGTCAAAACTCAAGAGGAAGAGAAAGTGGTGCTGGACAGCTTCTGACAAGGGTCACGACCGATGTCCTCCAAGCCGTGTCCTGCCACACAGCCAGGGTCCTGCCAAGCGCGGCTGGCTGGGGCGGGTGGGACATAACAGCACCTCTGCTCTTGCCCCCGCTCCATCACTCTTCTTCTGTCCAATGCTGCCCCATAACCATTTAACGCAGAAAGGTCTTTCCCCCTTAAGCGACTCATTTTCAAATCAAGGCCACACCAGCCTCAAAGCCAACTCCCTTCCCCAAAGCCTCCCTCGCCCCCCTCCGCCCCTACCTGGTTGGCCAGCACGGCCACGGCGCAAGCGGTGGACACCTCGGTGGGGCCGAACCAGACGGAGGCGATGCGTGAGGGCAGCCC